AGGTAAGATGAATCACGTCATAAGGTTTTACTGTCTTGATTGTAAGTATCCATCACTGTAATACAACAGTGATGAACACTAACAAATCCTAAAGTAGAAAATAAAGAAAATACCATTAACATATTTAGAGTAACAGGTACAGTTTCAAAGGATGCTTGGTCCCATAAATGTTATAGACCACACAGGAAAAAGGAATGCACATACTTAATGAATCAAGGAACACTGGAAATTTATTGTGGCAATTTTAATAACAGCCACTTTAAGGATTAAGATTTTACTTAGTTTTTAGTCTGTTTCCCTTGTTTTAAAGTTTCCCCAGTGTTTAAAAAATAATGTAATAAAATTGGTCTGCTTTGGCACTGCCAATTCACTTCTTTTAATTTGCAGTTAACATGACATGAGCTCCCAGAGAGCTTTTTTTGAGAAATAGCTGAAGCGTGTATCAAAAAGAGAAATAAAACCTTCAAAGAACTTGCATGAATTAAAATGCCAATAACCAAAACTTAACTGAACAGCAGTCAGGTTTTAAAAATGAAATTAGTTGAAAGATCTTTTATTTCCTTGCTGAGTGTGTGCCTGGAGCAAAGCTGCTTGGGGGATGACTTACTACAGTTTGTTGTACTCGTTTATTATAGAAAAGCTCTTATGGAGATCAAGGTGAAAGTGAGCCTCCCTGTTGTGTGCTATCTCATTTTGGATCATTACAGAAACATATAGTTATCCTTAATGATTTCAGAGTTTATCTGGGTTTGTTGCTGTTGCTCTTGTGTGACTAGCAATAGTTTTTTCTCATTGTTTTCCATTTCTGGTCTCTGACTCTTGATTACATCAGTGGCTATCAGAATTTCCTTGATTTCAGGACTGTTTGACAGATGGCAATTGCATCATAAGTGCTCAGGAGCTTGGTTGTCCTCAATTATCCACATCGTGAAAATCCACCCTTGTTTCTGTCTCTGTGTCACTTGGGATTATTGGGCCCAACTCAACACCCAAACCTCAGTTTTGATAAAAAAACAAATGTGCTTGAAAAAAGATGGTCCTATCTGCCATGCAAAGAGGAATTCCAATCATTAATCATTTATTCCTATTTCTGTGTTGATGTATATAGACTATATATAACATATACAACACTCAGCTACTGATAATAAATCAGTAAGTCAATAGCTTTTGTACCCAAACCAAAAATATGTGCTTAATGGCACTGGTGTAGCTGAGCGGTTATTTGCATTTAAAAAGGGTAAAAGGAGAAAAACATACAGAAGAGCATTTAGCTGTTCTAGAATAAGGTCGCATATATCTTCATTTGTATATATTTCAGAAACAAAAAGTTCTCTGTTAAACTAGTACTTATCAAAAGTCAGCAAATAAGTATTACAAAGAATGTGTCGGAAGCAAGTTTTACCCATTGACAAATTCTATCTGAAATGTCTTTACAAAATATGTTTAAATTCAGAATTCATGATGGGCTGTGAGATATTCAGGATCAAAGCCCCATAAAAATGTAAGTGTGCTTTTGAAGTAAAGAAATTTGAAAGCAAAGTAACACACATTTACCCTTTTAATTCATGAACTTTATATTGATCTTCAATATTTTCCATAGGCTCCTTGTCTTCTTCCTTACTTTATGAGGGTGACTTCTAAAATATTTTTTTTCTCTTTCAGGCTGTAACAATAATTCTGGAAGAAAACATATCCATGAATCCTCTATTGTATAATTTTCTTTGCATGTGGATATACATATATATGTGCCTGTTTGTACATGAATATATGCTTTCATATATATTCTGTGCTTTTTTTTTTTTTTTGCACAACCCTTTCCTCTTGGAAAATAAACTTTTGTAGCTAGACTTACTGCTACCGTTTCTGCTCTTTTAGAGGCATACCACAGGCCTGTCGAATTTTAGGTCACAAGTTATCACTATAATCATTTCTGATTTCTGATATCAAAATCTTGATTTCCAGTAAAATGTTCATACCATAAAGGTAATGAAACTGAAAATTATCTTTTAGTAAGCTATCCAGTCCCAGTTTCAAGACTTATGGCAAGGAATCTGCTTTCAAGAAATCTTGTTTTGGTGATTGACTCCTTGCTTAACCTAATTTTTATCTCTAACACGTTTTTGTCTAACCTCAACTTTGCTTGTGAGGCTAAAGGATTCTGTATTATTCATCATTATGTCTCTGTTCACCCCTTTTCTATGTGCCCTGTGCAAGTGTGTACACTCTGCTGCATGCAAGGAGTAGGAGAATAATATCTGTGAGAAATATTAATAATATTATATAACCTATCATAGATTGTTTTTATTTTTTTTGGCTTCATAACATTGTTCTCACCCCACACAAGTAAAGCAGTGTCACTCAGCTTTTCAGATCAGCAAATCCAGACAACTTTTCACCATGCAGAAATTAACATTCTGACTTTGTCTGTAGCTAAGCACACACCTTGTTGAGTGACGGTAAATTATTCCTTCTGAATATGGTACAACTTTCACACTTACATGTGTCTAAGCCAAAGAAAATGCCTTGGAAGATACAAAAGTATAGTGTCGCTATATTGCTTCTTTTTTACTTAATGTTTATATTACAAATAAGACTTAGGCTAGATGTACACACACATATATATATATATATATATACACATTAGTTTTGTTTTAAACAGTTACGTGTAAATTCAGAGATTCCTGAACTAGTGCATTCATATTTATGCAGAACTAAAACTTATTTACCAATTATTTACAAAATCAAAGTATTTTGAAATGTGACCTAACACATTATGTTCAATTATGTAATAATTCAGTTTGCAAGAACTATTAATATCAATGTTGATTCTATGCTTGCAAACCTTCTATCTCACATCCTTAGTTCTTACAGGAACATTATGCAGATGCCTTCTGCTACAGCTGTATTAATGTAAGTGTGATGACAAAAATTAATCAAGTGAAAACATTGGTCCTACAGTACTTTTGGAATGCTTGAAAGTTGTTTTAAAATGTCATAATGAGTAGCAAATGAAAAATGAAACATTTTATGTAAGACCTTGTATTCAAAGTATTATTGTTCATCTTCTAGCAAGTTTAATTTGAGATTAAATGCAGTTTTGATTCATGAGGCTTATTTGAGCCAGGCCACTTGAGAAGACAGCTTGGTATGTATTTGCAAGATATTTCATAACTCTAACAAACATTGTTATATGCTCTGGAAAAGATCATTATTTCACATTTTTTAGATTAATGCAGTGAAATATCTCAAGTTAAATTTAAAAAGAACATGCAAAAATGCCACAGCTAATATGTAAGCTATGTAAATATGAATTTCTTCAAATTGCAAATGTAGAAAACCTTGTAAGATCTCTGATTGTTCAGTTACAAATCCTAAATATGTGCTAGATTTGCCCTCCTAAGTGCTAGCCAAATCAGAGCTGAAGGAAAACATTATTCTTGAACAAAGATTAACACCTCAAAACTAATACTGACAGTATCAGTAGTCTGTCTTGAGAAGGGAAGGATCAATAGGAAAGGACTAGTCAAAATTGGTCTCATATGCTGTATAGCTTCTGAATCATCTCTGAAGTTTGATCCAACAATGGAAATTTTCAAAACAATCAAACAAAATCACCAGAACTAGCTTGTCTTCAAGCTGTCTCTGAAGGGTTTTTATTTGTTTGTTTTTCTTTCTTTTTTTCTTGGTTGGGATATTCCTGTTTACACAGGTTTCAGAGAACAGCTTTAAGTTATAACCTGATTTTATGAGGTGCAGGCAAATGGTACAATATATCTGTTTCTGAAAAGAAATCTCTGTCAGTCTATTTCAGGGAAAAGTCAAGGAAAGGTTGTTGTAGGTGTAATATGCATGGACAGATATTTTGATGTTGCTGAATGCTTTGTAACACTCATCTGTGCTGGGTTCACATGGATGCTGAAGTGACTCTAGCCAGCTCTAACCATGCATTTGCAATAGTTGAGCTCCTGGCATTTTCATTTTGGGTATTGACAGGCAAAATAAATGCAGGGAGAGATAGGGGCATTACAACAGATGTATAGAAAGCTACTGAGATGATGAAAGGGAGAATTAGTTCTCAGTAGGCTTAATATATGGTGCTAAAGTCAGTAATGAATTGCCAAAATAAATATGAACAACAAAACCCAAAAAGGTAAGATTTTCCAGCAAATTTGTTCAATCCTTGTCATTTGTGAAAAAAATCGGTTAAATAAAAATATTGCCTGTGCTTTTCAGGGGTTGCTATGGTGGGCAGTTAGTTGATGTCCTTTCCAGATCCATGATTTTGTGATTGATAAGGTACAGTAACAACATCCTGACACTTGAAACTTCACAATATTCAGTTTAAATAAATAAATAAATAAATAGATATAAAAATATAAAAAGAGGAACCTAAGCAAAAGCTTTTATATACTATATCTTGGATAGGAAATCAGAAGTACTCAGTACAACATCCACACACTTATTTAAGTAAAGTACAGAAGTATTTTAGAGATATTAAAAGATATTAAATTCTTTCAGTCATAATTCTTATAATTTGTCAGTGAAGAGGAATTAAAACTGGAAGAGGTGCAGATAAGGCTACTGAGATAATCATGGCAAAAGATAATTTATCTTATAAAATGAAATTGGATAAACTTGAACTGTTTTCCTTCATGAACAAAAGGTAAGAGGGAATGTGATGAGTATAAATAGGAGAGGGAGCAGAGAACTGCTTTAGGGGGTTAGAGGTGTTTTGGAGTTTGAATAATGTTAGATCACTTATGTAGAATTTTTTGTATGGTAAACTTATTTTCTGTGAGCATGAGAGTTTATTATTGCAAACATATGAAAGGGAATGGGAAATATTAATATTTTCTAACGCTTATTTTTAAAGTTCCTTAAGTTGTCAAAAGCTTTAAAGATTCATTTGGAGAATGCATTTAATGCTATACCAAGGAGAAATCATTAATATAAAAGGTAGATGTTAGTAAAAATAAATAAATAAATAAATAAATAAAATTCTTTGGTGTAGTAATATCTGAAAACAAAATCAAAAGTTTGGGAACTTTTATATTTGTCTGGAAACAGATGAATTAGAAATCAGGTAATACATTTTAAATATTAGCTGCTTTAAAACTGTTTTTTACATTTTTAATAATACAGCTCAGTTTATTTTGTGCTATTGAATGATACTGCCTGAGGAATGCATATCTGGCATTTTTGGTTTAACGAATCCCAATAGACTATTGCTAGTCTAAAAAAACCCTAAGTTTTTTTACTTAATGCACAAATAACTATTAGCTAGTGGTCATTGTCACACCCTGCAGGAGTTTTTAAAACCTCTAAACATGTTCACACCTCAGGGGAACTTTTGTGAGTGTCTGGTGGAGCTTGACCTTTAAACTGACCATCCAGAACTTGTTACTTGATGTTGTTATGTTGCAGCCATTCATTTATTTTTGTATATTTTATTTTAGTTATTCAGGAAGGAAACATATTACAATACTGTTTAATACTAATACAAATTTCAGGTGTGTAACATGGAGTTCCCAGCATGTGCCCATGGATGGACAAACAAGCTGACCGGAGGAGAAGGTCCACTCTGAAACTTAAACAGTAAGGTTAAACAGTAAGGTTTACGCAGCTGTGCCTAAAGGTGAGTCAGGTGGGAGCTGTTAGCAGTAAAGGAGAATAAGTGGGCTTGACTGATAAATTGCTTCCTGATAATTGTAATTGGGTAATCTTCCAGATTATGGGGATCCCCAGAAAGCCTGTTTTACCAACAACTCTTTTAAAGGAACCCTATAAGGCATACATGTTTATGTATATTATGTATATATATTTATGTATGCCTTATGTATGCCTGGACATCCATGTATTTTACTTTCTGTCAAATAAGACAATGTTTATGAATATCATGATCTCTATATATGTCTCATTGGGAATTTATGTCTTAATCCTTGCTCTTCTGCAGATCTCAACCATAGAGATTCCAAATGGAATCAGTCAAGGCACCATTTAAGGTAATTTCTCCAAATCAGTTACATTTCTGCATCTCTCTGTGTGGCTCTTGGGTATGAGCCCTACACATAACAGGTGTTGTTCTGATAGTCTAACATAAATTCTATGAGTAGCTAAAAAGGACGGGTGTGCTTCCCAATCTAAATTGGATGCCAAAAATTATGTGATGCTAATGCGAACTGTGCTCTAACATTGGAAATTACTTAAAGCATTTCTTTTGCAACACATTTTTGAATTGTTGGTGAAAAATATACTCTGTAAACATATGGTTTTCAATCAAGAATGGATGCTGCATGACGTTTAATGACAGTTTATTGGCTTATTCTGCTGATTGCCTGCCTCTTGAGATATCTAATTAGTTATCACCTTGCTGAATTGATAAAGGTTTTTTTCCACGTATCCTCACTCTGAATATTTTGTTTTCAGAAAAGAGCTTGTTGCAAATTCTTCCCTACAGTTCAGTGTGATTCAATTCAAAAGGACTAATGGACTTTTTATTTTTTGAAACAAAACAGAAGAAATTGAAGTTGTAGATCTTTGTATATGACATTGAGATATTGCTCTACAAAATCCATATTTTTAAAAGTGCTGAAAAACTGGAGCAGATGAAGAGAACCATTGATATATTCCTAAGATTAGAAAGTGCCTTGCTGTGAGAAGCTGTGCTCAATCAGTTTACTTTATCTAAAATAAAATTGAGATGTCACTTGATTACAACATATAGTTTATAGTGGTTGATAAAAAGCACTTAAATCCAGCAGAGAGAGATATAATTAATGTCTAGCAACTGAACCACAGTAATTCACATTTGGAATTTGGGACAGCTTTTTAACAATGATGATAATTAAGTGCCAGAATAAATTACTATCAGAGTGCTAAATTCACCACCTTTAAAGTACTTGTGTATCGCAAGGTAGGATGCTCAGCACTCTTTCAGGCTGCAGGTAGAGGTAGTGGTGGGTTTACTGTCTCCCTTCTTGCAGTAAATGTTTTACCAAAGCCAAATCAAATTGTTTTCTCAAAATTTACACTTAATTAAACAGCAATTACTGCAGTTGAACATAGGAATACATGATGGAGTTATAATGGCCTGTGATATGGAGTGTGACAAGCTAGACCAATGTGTGTTTTGTTTTGTTTTTGTCTTTGGATTTGCAAATCCACAAACTTCAGGCAGAGTACTGAAATCTGGTACGGCAATGTAAGTGTACTGAGGGTGAACTTGTTTTTCTCATCCTTTTAAAGCTGTCTACTATTCTAAAACAGTTTTAGAATTGCTGTTGTTCTTAACGTGTTTCTGTGTTTGAGGTTCAACTTTGCTCCCTCATTTTGCATTTTTGGGCAGTTTTTTGGTGTATGATAAGGAACTCTTGAAATGTTTTTCTGTAGCTGTGGTTTTCTAATATTGCTAAGCCTGTGTATATTGACAGTGTTAGAAAGTAAACCTACCTACTATTGCACGTACAAGATTTTATCCATTACTAAGTTTTCATACTTAAAATAATAGATAACTAATAGGTCTTGAAGCTTGTAAATATGTGGGACTGAAACATTTGAGAATATTTGAGAACTAATGAATAAGGAACAGGTTTTCTGGATAGTTTTACTACTACATTGTTCTGCTTCTGTAACTTTTTGGCACAGCTTGCTCTTTGCAAGGGGGCTAAATTAAAGATTCCAACAGAATGGTAAAAAGTGGTTTAGAGGTTAATACATTTCATGCCACCATCGTCACATTAATTTAGTATAGTTGTGCAAAGCATGTAAATGAGGGTACTGGTAACAGCTTTACCACTGAACATCAGGCCATAACATTAAATTTGTTTTGAAATAGCTCCACAATGAAAATCTGGCACAAGGAAAATCCCTTGGAGAGCTGTTCACTATTTGCTGTTCATGACTCTAACAGGTATGATGCTTCGCTGATGGGGGGTTATCGGTTAATTTAATCACTATCAAGGATAAACTGTCCTCATGAGCAGGAAGTAAATGATTCTGTATTGCAGATGAAGAGTGAAGCAGTTTGACATTTTAACAGAGACTAAAGGAGTGCATGAAGCAAGATGAAATCAACAAAATAAAGCATTTTAACTTGTTAACATAATATGTGTTGATGGTCTTCTGTAGTAACATCTGAGAAAGCTAAACTATTCTTTTTCAATTGGTTTATCATAAATACAAAGAAATACTGTTGACATCAATTTACATAAAATCTAGGTGTCATCACATGTTTGACACTAAAAGACAAAGAAGATTAAAATGGTCCTTCAGAAAACAGTTCTGGCAGCTTGCTAATGACAAATAAAAGCTATTTTATATTGTTTTGTGAAGTTGATTTCCATCTTTTTCCAATAGCCCTTTAGGGTATAAAATATGATGATGACACACTTCAAAGCATGTTTAATTGCCTTTGCATGCATTTCTGTTGTATAAATTCCTTGTCCCTTCTATTAAAGATGCCATATCAATAAATCATGATAAACATGGCTCTGTTCAGTAAGGCACTTAGCACTTCAGTAAGACTAGCATGAGCATAAGTACACACCAAAACTGAAAGCAAAGAAATGCCTGATGAATTAGAAGAGAAAGTCTGACAGGAACATTTTTTCAAGGAATTGTACTTTCAGCATGATTAATCACCTAAAGTGTTTTTAGCTTTAGTCAGTAGACTGACAAATAAACAATAGTTCTGATTTACAAAAAGCACCTTTTTAAAAAAGATGCCTTCTGCAGTTCACCAAATAATAATGTCTCATTTGATAGTTGCTTTATTTCTCGTATCAGTCATTGAATTCTATTTGGCAAACTGTCTTTGGATTAATTCTTACTGCTACAAATGAACATAACTGAGTGGATCTGACAAAGGGCAATTCATTATCTCTACACAATGATGATGCACAATGGAGCATATTTTTTCTTTCTTTCTTTGTTTTGGATATAAAACATATCTACTATTAAGAACTTTTTCTTTTTTTTTCCAAGACCTGTCATGTAGAAGACTCACTTTGTTTAAAAGCACATACTCTTTAACAGTTGATTTTTCTAGATGCTAACTGGGGTTGACCTACATCTTTAAGTGAGTGGACTGAAAAAAAAAAGTTAATTTTCTTAATACTGGATAAAATGTAATTTAGATGACAATAATTATTAGAATATAGGAGTGTGTCAATTTTCAGTTGCTTTAGCCAGGTTTATGGGAAAGGAATAGTGATAACTGTGAGTTACCTAAAGCGATTTTTTTAAAGTAGCTTTTAAGATCCTGTTTTTTTTCTTACTTAGCTTCTGTGCAAGGATGAGCCATCAACTGATATCAGTCTCGTAAAGTTCTTTACTTACAGATACTGAATATATCAGAGTATCACTAATGTGTGTGTGTGTGTGTGTGTATATATAATGATCATTGTGTATGGTGTTTTGTGTGTCAATGATGACAGAATCAGAAAACAGTTTTACTTGTAGGGATGACTTCTAAAGTATTGTATTTCATTCAGTGTTATATTTCTTCTCAAGCCATACTACAGAATAAAATAAGAGTGGAAGAAGAAAACAAGATATCAATATGGGACTATAGCCACCTATGGGGAATTTATTCTACAAAATCCATGAAATGATGCTTCAGGTCAATTGCAGCCTGCATTTGAAATACAATCATTTGAACACATGAGATTTCTACAAGATCTGGATTCAGAAGTTAAAAACCTCTTTGAAGTCAGTTACAAAATTCTCATTAGCTGATGTTAAAATATTCTCATTAGTAAGATCAGAATTAAGGTCAGCATTGTGCTTATTAATAAACACATTTGTAATATCCTTCTCTTCCATGGGAGAATAGTTTTCCATTCATATGAGCTTGTTTGTCTGTTTTGTGTGTTTAGACTCCAACTTCTTGAGGACAGAAATTAGTTTAAGAATTATTTAAGAATAGTTTAAGAGACAGCAGAGTCTCCTAACAAAAGGGACCATGATTTCAGTTTGAGCATCTGGTGTTACCAGAATGCAATGTTTTAATAATAATAATTGCATGCTAAACAGCTAAGAGGAAAACTACATGCAGAAAGGCAATTAACTGCAATGTGATAATATAGGCTACCACCTACATTGGCTTTTCATGGTAATAGATGTTGAAAGAGACTGAGCACCTTTGTTAAGTGTTTCAGTGAAGGAACAGTAGCAAATGTTACATTGAATTTAAGAGCTATTGTTTAAACTTAAGCAATATTGACTAAAATTCTGAATTCAGCCTAGAAAGTCATTTAATTATAGCTGAGTCTTTATTCAAAACCTGAGATGACATAGCTGACAATTACAGATACACAGATGATGTAAAGTACCTCTGTGCTTTTTACTTTATATGAGGGAATAGTTACAAATTTCTGATGTGGTTGATGATACACAGCTGTTAGTGACACACAGAGTGTATTCACTTTGGGAGAAAAACAAAAAAAAAAAAAGAAAAAAAGATTCAATCTAATTTATATGTATTTGACAGTCTCAAGGCTTTCACAGGTGATGGTGCTGTTCTGAATAGAAATTGGTAAATAGAACAAATTGCATGGCTGCATACTTTTTTGCAAGGTAGGCCTGAAGTACTAAAGCGAAGAGAGTTTGTTAATTGCTTTTTTTGTTAAATTGTTTAAATTGTTTTTTTTTTATTTTTTATTTTTTGCTGTTAAAATGCAGATTAAAATGTCTTGGGTTACATTATAGAAATTATAATACTACTGAGAATATGTGAATATGTTTTACAAAGAGGTAAAGACTAAATCAGGGGAAAATGTGTTTTATTTGGACTGTATGAAAGATGGAAGGGCAAAAGAATTCTGGTCCTCCAAGAATTTGTTTCATCTAGGCCTCTGTAACTTTTAAATTCAAGAGTGTTTTGATGCTGTTATTTTCATAAAATACAGCATAAATCTGAAGCCTTGTAACAGGAAATATATCTAAAATGTAAAGTCTTATAATAGGTTAGAAAAGGAAAATAGACAAGAAAATGATACATGATGGACCTGTTGCCAGAATATATATATGTATAATAGTTCCCTGCAATGTTCTGTTATTACTTATGCCACTCTTGAGACATGCAGGCTTACTTTTCTTCTTCATCTGTATTTTGAACCCCCCTAGCTCCCATTTACACGAAAGACCTCTAATGTGAAGTTACATAACATTATGGGGTAGGGGTGGGAATTTTTCTGTCCTTCATGAAAACCTATTTCCTTCTGCACAGAATAAGTCAGTCCAAGAATTATCAAGAACAAGAACGTACCTATTAGGATACTCATGTGGGCAAGGGGGCTTGAAGTTTTTCAATTTCCTATTCTGGTGAATATTTAAGATGTTGTTTATCTGAATTTCTCCAGAGAATTCAAGGTTTTATGTCTCTAGAGGGAGTATAGACTTTGTACACCTCAGAGTTCTTTTTAAAAGGTGGGTTCTTAAGGCATCTGATAGGACTTTGTAATGGTTATTTTTTAATGCATCAAATGCATCATCACATGGGTGTGGTTTTGGGCAGCTTTTTTTTTTTTTTTTTTTTTTTTCTTCCTCTTTTCCTTTGAGGAGGAGGATAGAGAGAGTGGTTGTGGTGGAGTTCAGCTTCCCAGCAGGGTAAAACGACTGCAGTCCTGTGATTCACCAAATAATTCTTTCTGTAGAGGTAGAATGTGTGGCCAGTTTGTGCTACTGATGACTTACTTTAAAAATTATGTCACATTCTGTGGGCACAGAAGACAATATTTGTGGATGTAGACAGAAAGTGACTAGTAGATAGTACCTAAAAATGTTTTGGAGTATGTAGGAGGTCTTAGATTGTGGTGTTTTTATTCACATTAGGCCAGTGTGTGGAATAACACCTCAGAGATGAGAAAATAAGGTATATCATCTGAAGCTTGAGAAATATTCAACCTTATTAATGTCAAGGAGGTATCCAGACATATTTTATTTTAATGGACAAGAGCAACACTCTACCGTAAACTGGTGAAAAGTGGTGGGAAATGAAGTAGTAATACTATTTATTTGGTATACGATGTAATATGTTACTGTGAAAATACCTGAAATATATGAATATATGAAATTTAAGTAGTGCATTAAAAGCAGAGGAAATATGTTCCTGACAGTAAAACTGTGGGTGCTATAAAGTGTAATCAGCCTGCAGTCATACTCTCCTTCCATAGTTTGGTTTCTTTCCAGTAATTAACAAAAGCTTTCATTTACTTACACATCTAGAAGTCCATATTGACCACTTTGTGTGCCATATTGACCACTTTGTGTGCATCTTTTATATTTAACACTATTTATACACTATTACCTTAGTTTACTATCATTTATGGTTTTAAGACATCTTTTGTTACTGGGCTGGGTCAAAGTTTTGCCTCGTTTTGCAATGCTTGTCTGCTAGTTCATTGTTTACTATTTGCTCTTACAGTTTTCAGTCACTGATGTCTCCCACTTTTTTTGTTGGTGGGTGAGGAAAGAACATTGTGAAATGACTTCCAGCAGATGCTCTTAGGAAATAAAGTAATTGTTTGGCTATCTCAGACAAGATATTTTTTCCAGGACACATGTTGGTCTTTTTTTTTTTGTGTCTTAGTGTGCATGCAATAGGCTTAACTCATGTTTTCACCACACATGCTTCGGGGTACGGGCTAAGTCTGGAATCTGGTGTGCATAATATTTACAGAATAAATAGAATTCACTTTGCTGAACTCTGAAAATTATCATGACAAATACCTTTGATATTATCTAATTTATTTAATCTTCCAAAAGAAAATCATTCACGTAGAAGTTTCTGAGATAGAAGTCTTGAGATTAGAAGACAAATGACTTTACCCTATCATCCATTTCTTTAAAGAGAAAATAAATCTGCTCTGCATACTGATTGATATACACTATTGTTACACAAACCTGGAAGAAAATATGCAGGAAGTTAATTTCCTTATAGAGATTTTTCACAAAGGCTTTCTTAAAAGTATTTTTTCATTTATTTTTATACATGTTAGTGTTATCAGAGATGTCCATGGTTAAGACATCCTTAGTGGAAATGTTTACTTCACAGAAAATTGACTAATTTTCAAGGAAGTTAAGTTAGAAATTCACATAGTTGGGTGGATTTTCAGAGAATCATAACCACCCACATAATATTTAAAAGAGCAGTTATTTGTTTAGTTTGATAGCATGATGATCCCTTCTTTATTTTAAAGGACATCTCTTACTTCATTTTCTTTCTGAAATAAACCAGAAGAAGGATGAATCAGTCAGGCACAACATAGAGCATAAACAGAATCGTTTAACAGAAGTTCAGTATGAGCAGAAGCATATAGTGGTAAGTCCACTTGTTTTGGTGGCATGTGGAGAAAGGCCTTTTCCAAGGTCTGTAGAAATTTTGGTGCAGGTTCAGCGGGATTCAGGAAGACTCAAGTGCTTATGGGACTTACCCACAGTATGCAGTTGATAAGTTGTGGTATTGCAGAAGGAAATATAGAAGGAAGGTTTTATACACTTATGATGGAACTGATTAAAAAAAAATGGATTCTCTTTTTGCCTAAGGTAAGGATTGCATACTTACATGGTACATCACGACCACAGCTTGAAAACTGAAGAACCTGGAATGAAATAACAAACACAAAATTAATAGATTATGTTGTGATGATGATGTTGTCACCACCACCCTACATAATGATGATGAACAATGCTTGAGCTGAAGCATTTTGTTTTATTAACATTTTTTTTTTTCAGTCATTTGTCTTACATCTTCTCTATAGAACAGGAGCGTTTAATAATATGCTGGTGAATAAGATAATAGAAGTCCACTTAAACTGCTGATATAATGGGTCTGCCTGGGGTATATATATATATTTTAAATGCAACCTCTATGGTGCTGTGCTAATGCAGTGGTTTGTGGCTAAAGCAGTGCTAACACACCAAGTTTTAGCTATTGCTGAACAGTGCTTCCACAGCAATTGCTTCCACAGCAATCATATTTTTTTTTTTTTTTTTTTTTTAAACCTACTATGCCTCTCAGCCCCCTTCACCCCCAGCAAGTAGCCTGGGGATGAGGGTGTTCTGCCCCTTCATCCCCTTGTTTTTGTGTCAGTAAAGTGAATGATTAGAGGTCTGGGGACTATAAAATGGTGAATGAATCTTGCTGATCACGTCTTGGGACAGGACACAGTTTTGACAGCTGTCCAGAATTGGCTAAAGGGATATTGCATACCATATAATATTATGTTCAGCAAAGAAAAATGGTGTAGAGGAAGAATGTGGCAATAAATTTTACTTCCAAGATGAGTGTGCAGAGACTGGCTGGTCTGCAGGTATACGTGCAGGAGGTAAGGAGTGATTAATTCCCATTGTTTTGCTTGTTTGTGTGTTTTGGTAGTGCTTTGTTGTTGTTGTTTCCTTCACCTATTAATATATCTTTAACTTTAACTCATGAGTTTTCTCACTTCTGTTCTTCCTTTTCTTCTGTCCTACTGGGGTGTGAAGTGAGTGGGTGAGTGAACGGCTATAGGGGTGCTTAGCTGCTGGTCCAGGTAAAATCACCATACCTGAAAAGAAGTGATTTTGCATTTTCTGTAATGAGTGAAGATTTTGTACAGATAAGGAAAGATACTAATATTCCAGACTGTACCTCATGAAGAAGCTTTCTATTCTTCAAGTACCAAAAGTGAAGCAGCATTCAATAAGAGTGCCTCAGAAAAACAACCTTCACATAACTTCTAAGGAAATAAAACATCTTCATTTCCTTTACAGCAGAAAGTTGCACCATTTTAGCTGTAAGTCTGTCTATTGTTGCAGGACAGACTTGTGTATTGCCAAGTATATAATAGGCTCTCTTTCAGAGGGAAAAAAAAAAGTCTGTTTTCCTCTATGCCTACATAACCTCAGATCATGAAACTGTCCAAGTGTTTCTAATAGTTCTTTTTGTTGAGTCAAAATGGAAAAATGCATTGTTTGATTAATTTTCAAGCAATGCACGCACAGTGCACTAGGAATATATGAAAAAATCCTCCAGTCAAATGTTTTAGCTTTGATAATGCATAATTATTTGAGTCTAATAAGAAAACTTACATTTGGGGATCCATCAATAAATTAATATTTAAAATAAAAAATGGAAAATTCTTACATACAGCTCATGCAGTAATTAATAGGGTGATTTGTGCTTCGAGGAAGTAATCATTTGTTCAAAAGTTTTCACATCTTATCCATTCGCTAAAAGAGTTCCAAAAATAGGGGTTTTATCAGTTTCTGGAACATGTCCTTACCAAACAGGTGTCCTTCCATCTGTGATTAGAAAGCTTTTTTAGGAAATACTGTTCTTAATTAAGAAAATACTCAATCATTTTCTATTCTCTATAGATGATAAGAGAAAGAAGATATTTCAACTCTGTTATGAGAAGCTGGAAGCAATTCACTCAATAGTTTAGAAAGAGAGGACTGTTTAAGGACTACTGTATATGGAGAAATCTGTTAAGTGTGAGGAGTCTTGCATGGTCTATTGTGCTGTGTTCCAGTCTTGTTCTCCCTTTTTCTTAAGCAATATTTGTTAGTGTTATACTGAAAAGGTTTATAACAGGAATATATTCTTTGTACAAAACACCTGGACTGATTCTAGAAAACAATGAAGTGCCAATTTGGTTAAATTTGAACTTATCTCAGAGTTAGCTCCCTTGTACTGGCACTCTGGGAGATCTGCAGTAACCCAGTCTCAAATATATTTACGATATATGCTCCCAGATCAGCACTCAAGGGAGTGAAGGTATCAGAAGAGAATTAGAAAGAGGTTAGAATGAGAATTTGATAGTGGGACATACTTTTGGTAGGGATATTAGGTTAACTTGACTGTGAATAAAACTCTTGGTAAGCACTTTATTTCTTATTTCCTGTGTAAAGCAATTGATTGTTCTTATAGATTATGAAAACTAGACATGGAGATCACTAACAGGGAAACCAGTCTTGCTATTTTAATTACCATTGTGTCTAATGTGATTCAAAATGTTTCATGTCTTACTTCATATTCCATATTCCAAACCCAGATTCAAACAAAAGAGAAATTTCAGAATGTAACAATACATGGTGGTGAGTACTTGGAATAAGGCTCTTGTTTTCATTATGAAGGTTGATAGACCTTCACAGATTATGTGAAGAAACTGTTTTTTTTATTAAATAAATGCACTCTTCCTTAATTTTGATTCATGCATCTTTTATTTTTAATACTTGTAAATATTTCACAACTTACTGGGTTTTGAATGACCTATTATTGCAGTAGCTTAGCATAATTTGATGGTTTCTATTGAATTATTGCTTTAAAAGTTTTAATTACTGAAGGAATATCTCCTTTTTACAAGCAATGAACAATAATGCCACATTAAACATTCTTTAATGGAGCTAAACAATAACTTTACTATTTAAGTCATATGCAAAATTTCTGAAGCTAAATCTA